CTAGAGCAGTCAAGTATCCTCTCCTACCTTCCTAGACATTCCCACAGCCATCCATAGCTCTCTCCTCCTCCATGAATTCGTCCTATCTTTTAACGCCATCCCTGCCTCCTGCGTAAGAGAGCTCCAGAGTTTAACTGCATTGCATGAAACGTTTCTCTGTCTAATTTCTCTAAGAGTCAGACACAACTAAACAGAGGCCTCAGCAATATATCGATGTAATGCCCAATACCGGGTTGAAGTCCAAATCATGTTTTTGGTTTCATAAGTGTTGACCTGGTGATATTTCACAAGAGTGTGTGTGTGCGTGCTTGCACGCTATGCAGAAATCACAATGTGGGGAAAACCATGAAGCAAGCCAATGCTTCTATGTCAGGCTTCCTCAACCTCGGCCCTCCAGATGTTTTGAGACTGCAATTTCCATTATCCCTGACCACTGGTCCTGCTAGCTAGGGATCATTGGAGTTGTAGGCCAAAAACATCTGGAGGGCCGAGGTTGAGGAAGCCTGTTCTGTACATTCTTGCTGTCCCTGTTAACCCGGCTCATTTCTCCCCTGGCAGTGAATCCTAGGAGCAGGAGCCGGCAAAAATCACGTTGCGGGGAAAACTGTGAAGCCCAGCCCATGGCTCTGCATAGCTCCATCCTTACTTTAGATATCGGTACAGTATATCACAGTGTTTAGCTGATGATGTTGAAAACCAGACATTGCCCAGGCCTACTGCATGCCATGAATAATTTTATAAATTTCGGTCATGTCACCTCTTATCTTTGTGAGGCTTCCCGTATCGAAAAAGTGGAAGCTTGCCTAGGAGAATGTGGTTTTCTCCTGCTAGGTCAGTTCCCTTTCTTGGTGGAATGTACCCAGTGGGTGGCTGGCCTCCAGCTCAGCCAAGAGATCGAGATAAAAGGCTTATCCAAACAGATTAAGGGGCTGTGATGGATGCTCCAGCAACACTGCCTTGCTTGGGGCTTAAGTCCTGGGATTAAGAAACACCCTGGGGTCAAGTAGGGGAAATGGCTCAGATTTGTGGAGGGGATGGAAGATTGTTGGGCTGGAGAATGCGGAAGAATCCCTCTTGCCTCATGAACCTAATTCAGTGGTGTCCAAACTTTTTTCAAAGAGGGCCAGGTTTCATAGAATCATAGAGTTGGAATAGACCACAAGGGTCATCGAGTCCAACCCCCTGCCAAGCAGGAAACACCATCAGAGCACTCCTGACATATGGTTGATGAAGTGAAGGGCCGTGAGGGCCGACCAAAGGGCCAACCAAAATTGTTGACCTTTTTTTAGGTTTGAAGTTGTTGAGCTTTCCCCCCCCCCCCAGGATTCTGCCCTGGGAATTAAACTGCAACAGGGGCCGGATAAAGCCAACCGCCAGGTTAGGCCCCCATAATGGACTTTGGCCCCTTCATGGATCACTACCTTGCCATGGCAAAGGGGCTTGAATAACTCAGAGAAGCTATGAACTATGCCAAGCAGGGCACCCAAGATGGACAGGTCATAGTGGAGAGTTTTGACCAAACATGATCCACCTGGAGTAGGAACCGGCAAGCCACTCCAGTATCCCTGCCAAGAAAACTCCATGGACACGAGATGGTTGGAGAGTGTTCTCGAAGCTACCAACATGAGTTTGACCAAACCGTGGGAGGCAGTGGAAGACAGGAGTGCCTGGCGTGCTCTGGTCCAGGGGGTCACGAAGAGGCGCTTCTCCCCGCTGCCAGCCTCCAAACCAGGTTGGGAGACAGTGGGATGGCGGCGTTCCGCCTCCCCGCTGTCCCCCGAGCTTGTGGGGCTGGCGGCAGGGAGAAGCGCGCTTCTCCCCACCGCCAGCCTCCAAACCAGGTCGGGGAACCGAAGCCCGGGGCGCGCTGTGCAGCGTGCCCCGGGCTTTGAGATGCAGGCTGCTATCCGCAAGCCTAGGGAGCCCGACGGGAACTCCCGCGGGCTCCCAAGTCTTGCGGAGAGCTTCCTGAAGCCTGCATTTGCCCCATAGGACGCACACACATTTCCCCTTCATTTTTGGAGGGGAAAAAGTGCGTCCTGTACGGCGAAAAATACGGTACGTTTTTATTGAAATTTTATTGATGTTAGCTGCCCTGAGCCCGGCTCTGGCCAGGGAGGGCTGGGTATAAATAAAACTACTACTTCTTCTTCTTCTTCTTCTTCTTCTTCTTCTTCTTCTTCTTCTTCTTCTTCGTCCAGGATCCTGAACTCACAGTGGCCAACCAGGTGCCCCCACGGGAAATCCTCAGGCAGGATTCAAGCACAAGAGCCCCCTCCCCTATCAAGGTTTTCAGCGATTGCGAGGGTAGAGCACAGCTTCTCTGGATAATAGTTGAGAGCCCAATCATAGAATCTGAGTTGGAAGCAACTAGGGCTGGGCAACACCTGCTTTCCAAGCATTGTGATATACAGTGGTACCTTGGTTTAGGAGCTTTTTCCGTTCCGGAAGTCCGTTCTTAAACCAAAACCATTCTTAAACTGAGGCGCGCTTTCCCTAATGAGACCTCCTACTCCTGGTGCCAGTCCACCGTTCGGATTCTGTTCTTAGACCGAGGTAAAGTTCTCAAACCAGGACACTATTTTCGGTTTGGCGGAGTTCGTAAACCGAATCGTTCTTAAACAGAACTGTTCTTAAATCGAGGTATCACCAGCTATAAGCATTGTGATGTACTGATAGAATAATGATAATACGACTAAAATTTATTATCTCTATGCTACACATCCGACTGGGTAACCCCAGCCACTCTGGGTGGCTTCCAACAATATCTCACAATGTCTGAAATAAGGATGGATCTCTCTAGAGCAGTGTTTCCCAACCTTTTTTGGGCAAAGGCACACTTGTTTGATGAAAAAAATCTCGAGGCACACCACCATTACAGCCCCGTGACGTCAGCGCGCAGCGTCATGCCGGGAGGGACGCACGAAAGTGTAAGTTTCAATTTTTTCCCCTCCCCTCCTGTGTAAAGGGGAATGCACTCTGCTAAGTAATGGCACTTGCCACAGCAGCGTCAACGTCACAGCACCCACCGGCACCCAAGAGAGAAGGGGTCTCAGCAGCCCTTTTGCCAGGAAGAGGAGCAAGAACGAGAGGAGGAGGAGGAAGAGGAAGAGAGTCCCCCCCAAAAAAACATTCTCCTTTTGATCTTCCTTATTTGCAATTCCTCATTGCAAAACAGCGGTTGATATAGAGCTGATTTTTTTGTTATTACAGTCCCCACCCCCTCACCTAGAAAAACACCCCCTGTCAATTTTATTATTATTATCATTATTATTATTATTATTATTATTATTCCCCGCCACTCTGGGAGGCTGAAGCCCTTTAAGGCTTCCTTCTGTCCACCTGTGAATTACCTGCCCGGAGCGGGTTTCTGGGGGGGGGGGGCGCTGCTGCCGGTGTCCTCCCCGTCGAGTCTCGCCTTGCCCGGCGCGTGGCGGCCGCCCTTTCCCACACTCTGCCGGCTGCGCTGCCAAGCCCCGCGGCTCGGCCTGTCAGCGTTACCGGGCTCGGCGGGCGGTAATTCCCGAAGAAAGCCAGCGGCGCTTGAAGAGCTGGCAAGCCCCCATTTGCATGTCTGTTTTCCACAGCCCTTGGAGAGGATTAAGTTCCCTCCTTCCTGCCGGGGAACCTCCAAGCTTTGGGGGTGGGGGGGGAGGAGGCAGCAAAGCGAGGCAGGAAGGAGAGCGCGGCTTGGCTGGGTGAGCTTTGGCAGGGGCAGGGAATGAGAGCCGCGAGGCGGGCGCTGCGGGCGGAAGCGCTGCCCGCCGAGCTCGCAGGCAGGCAGACGGCGAGAGCCCCGCGCTGGGCGGCCTCTCCTCGCCTCTCGCCGCCCGCCTCGCCCGCCTCCCTCCCACGGAGGTAGGCTGGTGTGCCGTGGGAGGGAGGCGGGCGAGTCGGGCGGCGAGCACACGCGGGGCGGCGAGCGAGCTCCCTCCCACATCCCATCGCCGCTCGCTTCGGCCGGCCTACTGGGCTGTCGCAGGCGGAAGGCCTGCGCATGCGCGAGGTTTTCGCGCCTTCCTCCAGTAGGCCGGCCGAAGCGAGCGGCGATGGGATGTGGGAGGGAGCTCGCTCGCCGCCCCGCGTGTGCTCGCCGCCCCGCCTCTCGCCGCCCGACTCGCCCGCCTCCCTCCCACGGAACACAAGGCAACGTTCCACGGCACACTAGTGTGCCGCGGAACACCGGTTGGGAAACACTGCTCTAGAGGCATTCATGTTCCCCCCCCCCTTTGTGAATTCTGCACACACATATCAGGATTTGTGATATATTGCCAGGTCAAAAATTATGCAACCAGTATCATGATATGGACTTCAAACCAGTTTCTTGGATGATACCAATATAAGCCTTACTCCCCCCCCCCCAAATTCTGACTGTGAAAAGTTAAATTCGCAACCTTGCAAAAATTGGCTTTTGCGATATCGCCGCTGAAACAGACATATGGTAAATCGGAATGGGTGAGAGTGCCTGCGGAATTTTAAGGGAATGGCTTATAGTCGGGTATTGTCTTTTTTTATTCCCCCCCCCTGAATTTTAAAGGTGCGGCTTATATTCGGGCCAATATGGTATATCGCCCAGCTCTGGAACATTGCAACCCCCTGCTATGCAAGAATCTCAGCTGAAGCATCCATGACAGGTGGCAATCAAAACTTTGCTGAGAAACCTCCCAAGGAAGGAGAGGTCCACAGCCTCTCCTCCATGAACTGGTCTAACCTCCTTTTGAAGCCCTCCCAAGTTGGTGGCCCTCGCCGCCTCCTGTGGAGCAGAGCCCCCCTCCGCAAAAACCCTGGTGCCTCCCAGATGCTTTGACTCCCAATGCCCATCCGCCCCAGTCAGCACTGGGGAGAAGCCACAGAAGGTTTTGGGCATGCGTGCTTTGGGGTGCGGTGCGAATGTGGCTGTGCATTAACCTCTTCTCCCTGCCTGCGTCTAGGGCCAGCCTGCTTCTGCCCCTGCTTCCTCTAACCTCTCCATCCTTCCTTTCTTCCTCCTTCCCTCCCAGATGCCACAGACTTCAGGATTCCCTGCTGAGCTCAGCCAGTGGCTACAGCAACTACCGGGGTATATTGAACTGGTGTGTTGTCATGCTGGTGAGTAGCAAGAGTTTGCCCCTCTGCCCTTGCCCTCCTGCCTTGAGGCTGCTTGGCACCTCGTGCCAGGTCTCTTGCAAGACCTCTGCTCTCTTGAGCCTCCCAGCGGCAGCAACAGCAGCAGCTGCCAATCCCCAGACAGAGGCACCCGGATCTTTTCACTGCAGAGGAGCTGCCTGGGAGCCAGGCAGACGGACACACTCCAGGGGCAAGGAGGCCGTTGTGGCCATCCCTGATGGCACAGAAGGGCTATTGTGGTGTCGATAGGCCGGCAATCTGGTCCCGGGATGCTGGCTCCTGGGGTAATAATAATAATAATAATAATAATAATTTATTATACCCCGCCCATCTGGCTGAGTTTCCCGAGCCACTCTGGTTGGCTTCCAATCGAGTGTTAAAAAGAATACAGCATTAAGTATTAAATACTTCTCTAAACAGGGCTGCCTTCAGATGTCTTTAAAGATAAGATAGCTGCTTATTTCCTTCACATCTGAAGGGAGGGCGTTCCACAGGGCGGGTGCCACCACTGAGAAGGCCCTCTGTCTGGTTCCCTGTAACTTGGCTTCTCGCAAAAAGTGAAGTGAAACTGCGTGCCTTTGCTGTGGGAGGAGGCCTTAATCAGCCTGGGCAAAATGCTTGAACAAATCATGGGGCGAGATAACCCTCCTTCTGGCTGCTTAACTCTTGGCTAGCATAATAACAACAACAACAACAACAACAACAACAACAACAACAACAACAACAACAACAACAATAATAATAATAATAATTTATTTGTACCCCGCCCATCTGGCTGAGTTTCCCGAGCCATTCTGGGCGGCTCCCAATCGAGTGTTAAAAACAATACAGCATTAAGTATTAAAAACAGGGCTGCCTTCAGATGTCTTTAAAGATAAGATAGCTGCTTATTTCCTTCACATCTGAAGGGAGGGCGTTCCGCAGGGCGGGCGCCACCACCGAGAAGGCCCTCTGCCTGGTTCCCTGTAGCTTTGCTTCTCGCAGTGAGAGACCCGCCAGAAGGCCCTCTGAGCTGGACCTCAGTGTCTGGGCAGAACGATGGAGGTGGAGACACTCCTTCAGGTAATCAAGCAATCAAGTCAGTGGAGGCATGCTCCATCCATCTGAAGAGAGCCTCCAAGTTCAGAAGCAGGGTACCTGTGAATATGAGGTGCTGGGGCACACACACACACACATGCCTGAGGGATGCCTGTCTGCCTTCATGCTGACTTTCTGGGCTACCCGGTGCACTTGGTGTTGCGATGGAAACAGGGTAGTCTGGTCCAATACGTCCCTCTAATAATAACAGTAATACTTATATTTTCTTTTGTTTATGCCCTGCCCATCTGGCTGGGTTGTCACAGTTACTCTGGGTAAGGAGCAGCCCCAGCAGAAACTGGTCCTGCCAAAGTGCACAGAGGCATTGGCGAAGCCTGGAAATAGTCTGCGAAACTGAGCAGGCAGGACTTGGAAAGAAAGATGGGCAGCCTCTCTGTAGTAGTAGTATAATATAATAATTTATTATTTATACCCCACCCATCTTGCTGGGTTTCCCCAGCCACCCTGGGCAGCTTCCAACAGAACACTAAAATACAGTAACCTATTAAACATTAACAGCTTCCCTAAACAGGGCTGCCTTCAGATGTCTTCTAAAAGTCTGGTAGTTGTTTTTCTCTTTGACATCTGGGAGGGTGTTCCACAGGGTGGGCACCACTACCGAGAAGGCCCTCTGCCTGGTTCCCTGTAACTTCGCTTCTCACAGTGAGGGAACCGCCAGAAGGCCCTTTGCTTTGATTCTTCTTCTGCAACCCTCTTGGGTGGGGGTGGCCTTGGTGCTTGGCTGGCTCTGCTCCTGCTGCCCAGGTGAGGAAAGGCGATGGCAGCAGCTGGCACGTACCCCAGAGCGCTCTCTGGCCCCCTAGCCACTGGGCTCCACTCTGAGACTGCCCTGCCTGCCAGGATAGAAAGCTATGGGATGCTTCCAGGAAAGGCTCAACTCTCAGACTGGGATCTTAATGGAAAATTAGCTTTCCAGTGCCTGTTCTCTCCCACTTACCCTCTTTGTGTAGGGGGCTTTCCAGTTTCAACCCCCAAACCTTTCTGCTTTGGGTTCAGCTGCAGCCAGCATGTCAGGGGCCAATCCCGAAAAGACCCCGCACTTTGAACTGCCGCCTGTGCATCCCCATCCCTATCCAGCTTCTTCCTGAAGCCCCCCTTTGCTGAAGTACCACCCCCCCACACTTCCTAAGGGGAAAACTGTGGCTTGTGGGCCTGATCCCTCCTGCTATGCCCCCTCCTTGTTGTGGGGTGCTGGCAGGGTGGAGAACACTTCCTTGCCCTGCATGCCATGTTAAGGGTGGGCTGGGCGGAAGAAATGCTCCCTTTTCCCTCCAAGGCAGCCCGGATGTTGTTTAAGCTCCCTTCGGTCCGTCTGTCCCCAGTGAAGGAGAGGCGAGCTGCAGCAGGAGGGTGGTGTTGAAAGAGGAAGGGGGGCCCTGCGGAGTCCCTTCCACCTTTGCTCCCCACGACCTTTGCTCCCAGGACTTAACCCTTCTCACCCTCGATTGGGAAATCAGGAAGCAGGCAGGCTTGTGGTTTAGCAACATGCCTCGCTATCTTTCCATCTCTTTCCTTGTCCTCCTCCTCTGTAGCAACCGCTCAGGGTGAAACTCTCCCACCCGGGCTGGAAGGCGTGTGGCAAGACAGCGTGGCTTGTCCTGCTGCCCATCCCACAGCAAAATAATGATGATATCAAGTTAATTTTATCCTGTTCTTCTGGCACTCTGGACGGCTTCCAATAAAATATGAAACCAGTAGAACATTGAGAACTTCCATAAGGAGGTGAGCTCACATTGCAGAATGGAGATTAAATGAAGAAATAGTAAACAGTAGAGAAATAGTAGAGGAAGGTAAAAATAATAGAGTATTTTGAGTTTGACCTCAATCAAGGGGTGGATGAGAAAGGGGTCGGGGACAGAAGCTTCCTAATACAACAGAATGCCCATCTGAGGAAGTCGGAAGAAAGTAAAAAATTGGAAATAGTGAATGAGTTAGGAAGGAAAGGGAAAAAATTAATACAAAAACCTGGAAATGAAGAAATACTACAAGAAATTAAACTATTACAAACAGCTCTCTAAGCTGCCTGACCGGTTGCCAGAATTGTAGCTCTGTTGCCCCCAGTTGCTCCCCTCCCAAACTGATCAGTCCCGCAGAATCCTCTTTAGTGCTGGGGGAGGGAAGGGCCTGAGACCAGCCTCCCATTGCATTGCATTTTCTCATTTGTATCCTTATTTATTTCACAAAATTTACGCACCTCCAAGCGGTTTACTGAAAAGATAATGCCATAAAAATTGGGGGTGGGGGCGAGAATTGCAATACATTAAAACGTGCAATAAGTTAAAACACTAAATCAGATTATAATTCCCTCCAGCATTTCTAAGCAAGTGGGCAGGCTTGTCTGAACAGGAAAGTTTTAGCAGAAATTCTGAAGGCGCTTGCTGGCTATCGAGAGACAGTGTTATGGCCGGTTTTTGAGATTGGGATTGGAAGGGGGGGGGGTTGGGCTTGGGCTTGGCATTTGCTGCAGGAGCTGCTGCTCACTTCTACCCCCTCTTGTCTTCCAGGTCTTGAGCAATGCTCGCCTCTTCCTAGAGAACCTTATCAAGTAAGTCTGGCGCTCCTCTTCGGTTGGGGCGGGGGGCTGGCAGCAGTGGAGAGACCTCACCTGGGATGCTACAATTCTGCCATAGCAGATCAGAGTGGATGTGACAGGCTGCCTTTGGGGGGCAGGCATAGGCAGACTCCGGCCATCCAGATGTTTGGGACTACAACTCCCATCATCCCTAGCTAACAGGACCAGTGGTTATGCTCTGCGCGGGGCTGCCCTTGAAGCTGTCCCAGAAACTCCAGCGGGTGCAGAATGCTGCAGCGAGGCTCCTCACGGGGTCTCTGCCATGGGAGCATATTCACCCAGTGCTTTTCCAGCCGCACTGGCTCCCGGTGGAGTACGGGGTCAGATTTAAGGTGCTGCTTTTGACCTTTAAAGTCCTTCACGGCCTAGGACCCTCGTACCTATGGGACCGCCTCTCCCGGTATGCCCCACGGAGAGCCTCAAGGTCCATAAATAACAACACCCTAGTGGTCCCGGGCCCTAAGGACGTTAGATTAGCTTCAACCAGAGCCAGGGCCTTTTCAACACTGGCTCCGGCCTGGTGGAACGCTCTGCCTCATGAGACCAGGGCCCTGCAGGATCTGATTTCCTTCCGCAGGGCCTGTAAGACAGAGATATTCCGCCTGGCCTTTGGCTTGGAGCCAATTTGATTCCCTCCCCCTCTTTTCTTTTTCCTTTCTGCTCCTGTGATGAGGCTGCATTTTAATATTTTAATGTTTCAATATTTTAATTCTTGTATTTTAATCTTGTTTTTTAAGTTGTAGTCATTCAACTTGTTTTTATTATTGCTTGTTAGCCGCCCTGAGCCCGGCCTTGGCTGGGGAAGGCGGGGTATAAATAAAAATTATTATTATTATTATTAGTCCCAAACATCTGGAGGGCCAGAGTTTGCCTATGCCTGCTTTGGGGACCTGTCTCTTGTTGCTCTCAGAAGCAGCAAGGGGGAGGGCAGATCCTGGGACCTTGCGGGGGGGGGGGAGAGAGGAGGGGAGGGCTGCAACTCAAGGGCAGAGCACCTGCTTGGCTTGCAGAAGGTCACTGGTTCAATCCTCAGCATCTCCAGGCAGGACTGGGAGAAAGCCATGGCTGCCGGACAGTGCAGGGACATAGCAAGGCACCCTCTCTGAGTCGGACCATGCAAGCTCAGCACTGATGGGCTGGCAAGATGGTTTCCTGCTGCTCCAGAGCGGAGGACTCGAACCCATGGCTTCAAGGGACAAGGAGGTGCCAACTAAACATTAGGAGGCACTTTATGAGGGCAAGAGCCATTCAGCAGCGCAGAAGATGACCTTGGGAGAGATGGCTGACTCTCCTCCCTTAGAGGTTTTTAAGCAGAGCTTGGGTGACCATCTGCCAGAGATCATTTACAGGTGAAACTCAGAAAATTAGAATATCGTGGAAAAGTTCATTTATTTCAGTATTTCAACTTAAAAGGTGAAACTAATATATGAGATAGACTCATGACATGCAAAGCGAGATATGTCAAGCCTTTATTTGTTATAATTGTGATGATTATTTCGTACAGCTGATGAAAACCCCAAATTAACAATCTCAGAAAATTAGAATATTAAATGAAATCAGCAAAACAAGAACTGGAAATAGAGCAATATTGGACCTCTGAGAAGCAGAAGCATGCATATGTACTCAGTACTTGGTTTGGACCCCTTTTGCATCAATTACTGCCTCAATGCGGCGTGGCATGGATGCTATCAGCCTGTGGCACTGCTGAGGTGTTATGGAAGACCAGGATGCTTCAATAGCAGCCTTCAGCTCTTCTGCATTGCTCGGTCTCATGTCTCTCATCTTTCTCTTGGCAATGCCCCATAGATTCTCTATGGGGTTCAGGTCAGGCGAGTTTGCTGGCCAATCAAGCACAGTAATCCCATGGGCATTGAACCAGGTTTTGGTACTTTTGGCAGTGTGGGCAGGTGCCAAAGTCCGGCGGGAAAATGAAGTCAGCATCCCCATAAAGCTCATCTGCGGAAGGAAGCATGAAGTGCTCCAAAATCTCTTGGTAGACGGCTGCGTTGACCCTGGACTTAATGAAGCACAGTGGACCAACACCAGCTGATGACATGGCTCCCCAAATCTCGTTTTCTGATGAGAGCAGCTTTTGCATCTCATTTGGAAACCAAGGACCCAGAGTCTGGAGGAAGAATGGGGAGGCACACAATGCCAGATGCTTGAAGTCCAGTGTGAAGTTTCCACAGTCTGTGTTGATTCTACTTCTCAGAGGTCCAATATTGCTCTAATTTTCTGAGATTGTTAATTTGGGGTTTTCATCAGCTGTACGCCATGATCATCACAATTATAACAAATAAAGGCTTGACATATCTCGCTTTGCATGTCATGAGTCTATCTCATATATTAGTTTCACCTTTTAAGTTGAATTACTGAAATAAAAGAACTTTTCCACAATATTCTAATTTTCCGAGTTTCACCTGTAGCTGTGATTCCTGCATGCCAGGGGACCCTCAGAGGGCGTGACCCCCAGAGGTCCCTTCCAACTTTATGAAAAACTTTTGTCCTGCAACACAGAGCTGTAGTGATGCTAGCCAGTTCTGTCCAAGTTTGCCCATCTCTTCCAAGCCCTCTGGGTGCCTTGCAGGGGCTGGCAAAAATCCACTGCCTTGTTTCTGAGTGGCTTCTAGTTTCTCCCTCCCCAGGTGGGGTATCCCTGGGCCTGTGGCGGCTTGATCCCGAGAGTGCCTCCTTGTCGATGCCCAGCACGTCTCCTGGGAAGCCAAATGCCTTCCGTCGTCCTGCCCTTCTCCCAAAGGACTTGGAGCCAGCAGACAGGAGAAGGCCTTCTGCATCAAGCATAGGGGTGTGGAACAAAGGGCTGCAGCTTTCTCACCCAAGCCTCCTCTCCTTCCTGGGTTTGCGTTGCCCGACTGGGAGGGAGGAGAGAGTGCCTCTGACCATGTGCTCCTTCCCTCCTCAGGTACGGCATCTTGGTGGACCCCATCCAGGTCATCTCCCTGTTCCTGAAAGACCCCTACAGCTGGCCTGCGCTGTGCCTTATTATCGGTGAGTCGGCATTTGTCTTGAATTTCTCTGCGCGACCCAGCAGACGCCTGGTCTCTGCTTGGCTCCTTCCACTCGCACCTCTTGAAGAGCTGCTTGCTTACAAATCTCCTCGCGGCCTCTGTGTCCTGCAGCTTTTGGGTCCCTGGTGCTGCCGGTCTCCTGCACCGTTCAGATCAGGGCTCTTGAGTGAGGCAATGCGTGTGCATGAGAGAGAGAGAGAGGGAGGGGGGTTGGAGGTGGCGGGGGATGAATGGATGGGAGTGCCTTTTCTGGGGTTGGACTAGATGAGCCTTGGGGGTCCCTTCCAACCTGCAGGCTTGCAAATTCCTGGGCCGGCTGAGAACGGGGACCCAAATCCTTGTTCCTGGTTGCCTGCACTGCCCAGCAATGATTGCCAACATTTGCTTTCCCCCCAGTGGCCAATGTGTTCGCTCTGGCAGCTCTGCACATTGAGAAGAGGCTGGCGGTGGTAAGTGTGCTTTGGGGGGCAGGCTGGGATCCCTTGCGAAGCGGGGTCTCTTTAGGGCTTAGGCTCAGGCTATCTGAAGGATCGTGTTCAGCCATAGGGACCTGCCCGGCCTCTGAGATCTTCAGGGGAGGCCCTTCTCTCAGTTCCGCCACCCTCACGGGCATGCTGGGTAGGGGGCGCAGGAGAGGGCCTTCTCGGAGGTGGCTCCTCCAATACAACTTTGGAAGTCCTTTCCTAGAGAAGCCAGACTGGCTCCCTCCTTGTTGTCCTCCTGCTGGCCGGTGAAGACCGGTTTTTCCCAACAGGCCTTTGGGAACTGACTGTTCTTCTTTTTAAGGAAGTGCTTGTCATAGTGCTGCACTGTTTTTATTACCAGTATTTTAATTTATACACACACACACACACACACTGTATTTTTCGCTCTATTGGACGCACCGGACCATAGGACGCACCGGACCATATGAGGGGGGAGAACAGGAAAAAAAAAATCCCGCTGGGCTCCGGAGGCTTTGGGTTCCTTTCGACCTGCTCTTTGGGGCTGGCGGGGGGGGAGCGCTGCTTTCCCCCACCGCCAGCCTCCAAACCAGGTCGGGGAACAGTGGGAAGGCGGCGCTCTGCCTCCCCGCTGTCCCCGAGCTTGTGGGGCTGGCAGTGGGGAGAAGCACTGCTTTCCCCACCGCCAGGCTCCAAACCAGGTCGGGTTTGGAGGCTGCTGTCCGCAAGCCTTGGGAGCCCGGTGGGAACTCCCGCGGGGCTCCCAAGGCTTGCGGCTATCTGCCCGAAGCCCGGGGCGCGTGCCCCAAGCTTCGGGATGCAGGCTGCTATCCGCAAGCCTTCAGAGCGCAGCGGGCACTCCCGCCGCGCTCTGAAGGCTTGCAGATAGCTTCCTGAAGCCTGGAGAGCGAGAGGGGTCGGTGCGCACCGACCCCTCTCGCTCTGAAGGCTTCAGCGAAAGCCTGCATTCGCTCCATAGGATGCACACACATTTCCCCTTCATTTTTGGAGGGGGAAAAGTGTGTCCTATAGAGCGAAAAATACAGTATATGTTATATTTTACACACACATACACACACACTGTTTTAATCCTATTAGAGTTTAATTCCCCTTTTGACTGTTACTGCTGATAATGCTTTCATCTTTGTATCTGCATCATATTGATTTGTTTAAGCTGCCTTGAGTCCTGGTTTACAACACCCTAATATCTCTTGATAATGGGAGGTATATAAATTGAAATAATAAGAACAATAACAGGCCCCCCTTTGAGGGGTGGGCAGGGAGCGCTTAAGGTGGCCATAGAGCATTGCCCCTGTTTCCCTTCCTTCCGCAGGGCTCTATGTCGGAGCACCTGGGGGCCGTCCTGCACACCGTTAACCTCCTGACAATCTTATGCTTCCCTGCGCTGGTGACTCTTGCTGTCACCTCCATCACGCCAGGTGAGTGCACAGCCGCCGCCCCCCCCCCGACTTGTGGACTTGCTCTGAAAAAGCGGCTTTCTGTTGCGGGCTCCTGGGTGGCAGGGCCCCCAGATTGGGGCTGGGAAGCCTCAGGCCTGGGGGCTGGTTGCAGGAGAGGTGTACGTTTCTTCTCTCTTTCTGCATAACTAGCCTATTGTGCAGAATCAGCATCTGCATTGATGTCCCATCCCCTTTTGCCTGGTCCCTCCCTCCCACCCAACACTCACATCTGGCCCCCAGGAGGTTGCTTTGAAGGGAATGCGGCCCTTGATTTGAAAAGCAGCTTTCCCACATGTCTGAAATAAGGTTGGAGCTACAGAGAGGCATTACCTGGCTTCACAATTTTCCCCACATCGTGATTTTTGCATAGCACATGCGCAGACACACACATGTCATGATTCACGATATATCGCCAGGTCAAAAATAATGGAACCGATATCACAAAATGGGCTTCAAACTGGCTTGGGATGTTGTATCGCTCTCTTACCCCGCCCTACCGCTTGCGGCCCAGGCAGAGGCGTGCCCTGAGCTGGGAGGTTTCTGATCTGTCCTTGCTAAGAAGATGCTGGCGCACAAAGTCACCTTGTCCTGTCTCCACCCCAAATAGCCTTTGAGAAGAGCTACCTCTTCTCCATGGGGGTTGGTCAGTGTTAACGGAGAAATCTGAGGGCTCCCTTGGACAAAAAACAAGGACACCAGCTAGGAATACCAGAGCAAAACAGCAGCCAGTAGGCTTGGTCTTTATTGAAGACCATCGCGACAGGACTCCCACCTGCCACCAGGTGGAACAAGATGGAAGCCCAGAACAAAAGAGAACCCAAACTTTTATTAGCTGCTAATCCCCATGTTGCACCCCCCCACTACATCACTCATACATCATGGTTACGTCATGAAAGGGGAGGTCTGGGGGCAGGAATCTGAGCATCCTGGAACCTGCCCCATGGTTCCCCTTGCCCTCCACCAAACACCCATCAAGTGAAACAAAAGAGATATTCACATTTCCCTGTTTCCCAGCCAAGTTAATCACACCCTTTTGTCTTCACCTGGGTTTGTTCTTTCTGGAATGGCTACCTGTCTGGCACTCAGGTCTCAGGATGTCAGGGATTATCACTCAGGCAGAGGGGCTGCTGAGGAGCTGAGCTCACAGGTCTAGATGAATTTCTGAAGTTTCCCCAGATACATTCCCCAGATACACAGATACATTGATCAGCGAATTCTTACATTTGGTATCGTGCAGCAAAGGCCCTTTGAATAGATAGGAAGAAACTGTGATGAAGTGTTTTGTGGGGACAAGTCACAAAAGGGATTGTGCTGATTTTGGTAGAGGAGGATATCTGCAGGATATCTGCTGGAGGGGCACCCCCCCAACCTATACATAAATTCCTGCAACATCAGTGAGTCAGGTTGGCGTCACCCTCTTCCCGCCTCTGGGGCATGCAGATTATCTGGGGCGCTGTGTGTTATGTCTCTTGCCCACCCGCTTGTCTTCTTCCTCCGCAGTTGGGGCCGTCTTTGCTCTGGGTGTCCACACCATCCTTTTCCTCAAGCTCTTCTCCTTCAAGGACGTCAACAAGTGGTGCCGGGAGAAGAGGCAAGCCAAGGCCGCCCGAACCCGCTCCGGTGAGCCCTGAGCCAGGCCTGGTGGGGGCACCTGAGGAGCCCCCCCCAAGTGCCAACTGGGATGGCTGTGAAAGAGGGCTGGACAAGTTCATGGAGGAGGAGGAGAGGGCTGTCCGTGGCTACAAGCCAGGCTGGCTAGGCTGTTCCTCCTCTGCTGGAGGCCACAAGGCTCCTGATCTCATAGCTGGCAGCTTTCAGATTTGAAAATAAGGGATCAGCAGCCTCACCTGTCCTGGGGACTGTCTACGGGATATCTAACAATCTGGGATATCAGCGGGAAGCAGTGGGAAACGGCGCTGGAATAAGGGAATTTCCCACAAAAAAAGGGAAGGTTGACAGCTATGCTCCTGATAGGAGCTTCTGGAAGCCACAGGAGGGGCTCAGGTCCTGTGTGCCAGTTTTCCATGGGAGCATCTGGTTGGCTGCTGTCAGAAGAGGACGCTGGACTGGTTGGGCCCCTTTTGACATCATCCAGCTGGCTCCTCTTCCATTCTAATGTCCTTTTCTGTGCACCTTTCTGGTTTGAGTTGACTTATGGAATCATAGAATTGTAGAATTAGAAGGGAAGACAGGAGTGCCTGGCGTGCTCTGGTCCATGGGGTCATGAAGAGTCGGACGCGACTAAATGACTAAATAACAACAGAATTAGAAGGGACCCTAAGGGTCAGGAATAAGGCAACGGCTGTGGGTAGCTCAGCTGGTAGAGCAGGAGACTCTGAATCTCGGGGTCGTGGGTCCAAGCCCCATGTTGGGTCCAAGATTCCTGCCTTGCACGGGGTTGTTCTGGATGACCTTTGGGGTTCCTTCCAACGCTGCCATTCTCTGACCTGCGTTCTCTGACTGATGCCCTTCATTGTCTATTCCAGCTGCCGGGTCGCAGAAGGCCAATGGGAACGTGGCCTCAGGGGCCGTGGCGTACCCAGCGAACCTGACCTATAGAGGTAACATGGCCAGGCAAGACCTCCGTGGCAGATGGTTCCCTGTGGCTCTGGTGGTGTTGGGGGTCTGGCGGCGACGCCATCCTGGGACTGACACTCCTCTGGGAGGCCAGAGCTTTGTGGCGCTTGCTTTCCCCTGGCGTGCAGTGGCTCCGAGGTCAAAGGTCCCCTGGGATTCTTCTGCTCCCCACCCCCCACATTGGGGAACAGGGGAAGCTGCCTTGTGTGGAGTCAGACCATTGGCCCATCTAGGGCAGTGTTCCCTGCACTGTCGGGCAACAACGGCTCTCCAGGATTTCAGGCATCCAACTTCTCCCAGCCTTGCTTGCCTGGGGAGATGCTGTTGGGGGGGCGGGTTGGGCCAGGATCTTCTGCATGCAGCTCACTTTCTCTGTGCCTGAGCTGCGGTCCTTTTCCCAAAGGGAGAGGCCAGCTCCTGTTTGGTGCGCCTGCCCTTAACGCCTCTCTCCTCCCATTTCCATGGCAGACCTCTACTACTTCCTCTTTGCACCGACCTTGTGCTACGAGCTGAACTTCCCACGCTCTCCTCGCGTCCGCAAGCGGTTTCTGCTGCGCAGGCTGGCTGAGATGGTGAGGCCCCCTGTCCTGGGTCTGGCGGCGACCCGTCTTCCTTGCCCCCTGCCCACCCCCAGCTCCCCACCCCCTTTGCAAGACAATGAAGGCTGTTATACAGTCATACCTTGGGTTAAAAGTGCTTCAGGTTGAGCATTTTCAAGTTACGTTCCGCGGCGACCCGGAAGTAACGGAGCGCATTACTTCCGGGTTTCCCCGCTCTCGCATGCGCAGACGCTCAAAATGACGTCATGCACACGTGCGGAAGCAGTAAAACGCAACCCGTGCATGCGCAGTCGCGTCTTACATTTTACTTCGGATGCGAACGGGGCTCCGGAACAGATCACGTTTGCATCCAGAGGTACCACTGTACTTTCAAATTTTCTTCCCTTTGAGTCGAACCTGGGGGAAGCCGGCTGCGAGTCCCTGTGACGGTGGCTGAATATTTAGCGCAGGTTGCGCACACCTAAGGACCCCGCCCCATGCCAAGAAGACGCTGCCTGCCTCCCCTGTAATATTGGAGGGGTCAGGATTGCACCCAGTGTAGTGTTGGGGCCGTAGGGAGGGGGTGGGAACCCCTAGCAAGGAAGGCTCAGGGTCTTGGAAGGCCTGCAAGGTTGTGGGAAAGAGTTTTGGCCTGGAGGCTGGGTGTAGGGCCCATCCTACCTGGCTGCCGGCGGAGCTGCCGATAGGAACATAAAGAGAGCCCCGCTGGATCAGGTTAATGGCTCATTTAGTCAGCAACCAGGTGCTTATTATGGGAAACCGGCAAGCACAACATGAGCGCAACACCCTGTTTTGGAAAGCCCTGTTTAGGGAAGTTTTTAATGCTTGATGTTTTATTGTACTTTTAATATTCTGTTGGGAGTCGCCCAGAATGGCTGGGGAAAACTAGCCAGACGGATGGGTATACATAATAAATAATAGTAATAAAAAAATATTATTATTATGCTGCCACTGTTCCCTCCTGGCATTATTATTATTTATTATTATGCCACGGAGAAGCAGGACTAAGATGTGGAGATATGCTCCAGAGATCGAGACTGTGGGGAGCACCAAGAAATTAATAAATACAATTTGGACTATAATTTGATATTTTTTATTTTAGTTTTTTATTTTATTAATTGAACTATTATGATTAGATATTTAATTGGATGTTTTTTATTGGAAAATCAATAAAAATTATTTTAAAAAATATTATTATTATGCCACTGTCCCCTCCTGGCTAGCAGCCATCGACTGTCTCCCTCTTCCATCCATGTGTCCGATCCGGCTTTTAAAGTCTTCCAGTTTGGTGGCCATCCTGCCGCCTGCAGGAGTAAGTTCCACAGATTAACGAGAGAAAAGGACTTTCCTGCACCTGACCTGAACCTTCCAGCCTCCCGCTTCCTTGGACATTCATGAGTCTCGTGTTGATGGTCCCTCACTCCTGACCTCTTCTTTTTCTCCCCCCTTTCCCAGCTCTTCTTCCTCCAGCTGATGGTGGGGCTGATTCAGCAGGTAAGTGGGGGCAGGGGGGGGCTTGCTCTGTACCTGCTGCTGGCACCTTTGAAGCACAGGGCATGGCAGGGGGTCTGGCCAGAGAGCACCACCTGGGCAGGGTGCCTAAATCAGACCACAGGCTCTCTCTGGTTCCAGTCTAGAAGTGGCCAGGAGCTGCCCTGTGCCCCCTTTCTGGAGTGTCTGGTGCAGAGAGGAAGGTTGGGGGGCAAAAAAGATGCTGCAGCAGCAGACATGGGGGGCCAAGGACAGGAAGGGGTGCAGAGACGGTTGCCACCTTCCCTGATCCAACTGCTAAAACTGTTTGGAGGTACTGGAACACTCCCGTTGAACATCTGCCTGATTTGGCGGTACTGTATGTGGGCCGAAGCTGATCTGCCTAGATGGAAGCTTGATACGTTATTACCGTATTTTTTGCTCTGTAAGACACACTTTCCCCCTCCTAAAAAGTAAGGGGAAATGTGTGTGCGTCTTATGGGGCGAATGCAGGCTGCGCAGCTGTCGCTGAAGCCTGGAGAGCAAGAGGGATTGGTGCGCACCGATCCCTCTTGCTCTCCTGGCTTCAGGGATAGCCACGCAAAGCCTCTTGAGCACAATGGGAGTGCTCCTTCCTCTTCGCTCAGGAGGCTTTGCGTTGAGGCTTCCTGCTCACTGTCCTGGCTTCTGGCTTAGTCACACGCAGCCTCTTCCGGGCAGGGGGAGCCTTCATCCCGCTGCCTGGGAGAGGCTGCGCGTGGCTGTCCCAGAAGCCAGATCCCTCTTGCTGTTCTGGCTTCTGGGATTCAGAATATTTTTTTTTCTTGTTTTCCTCCTCCAAAACATAGGTGCGTCTTATGGTCTGGTGCGTCTTACAGAGCGAAAAATACGGTGCTTATTTAAACATTTGACATACCGCTTCGCTGGAATTGTCTCCCCGAGTGGTGTGCAGAAAAAGTAAAAAATGGTTAAAGCTAAGATCAGACTTTGGTGGAAATTCCTATTGGAATAAAAAGAAAAACTCTTCAACGAGTGCTGGAAATCCAAGACGGGAGCAGGAACTGAAGAAGGGTGATGGTGGTTGGAAGAGGGGTCTGTTCAGAGGCTCTGAGACCTTTTTGTCTGGGTAGGGGTCAAGAGCAGGGACTTTTCAGAGCTTGGTGGTATGTTTTGGGTCCCAGTAGCTGGAGGACTTGGGCAGCCTTACCTTGTGATCAGAGTTGGGGGTGGTTCTCTATACTGCACAAGGGTGACTTTTCTTTCCTCCGGTTTGGAAATTGTTTCCCATTTGGTTGTGTATTTTTTCCAATGTGGTTTATTTATTGTTTGTTGGGACACGGGTGGCGCTGTGGGTTAAACTACTGAGCCTAGGACTTGCTGATCAGAAGGTCGGCGGTTTGAATCCCTGCGACTGGGTGAGCTCCCATTCCTCAGTCCCTGCTCCTGCCAACCTAGCAGTTCGAAAGCACACCAAGTGCAAGTAGATAAATAGGTACTACTCCGGCGGGAAGGTATACGGCGTTTCTGTGCGCTGCTCTGGTTCGCCAGAAGCGGCTTAGTCATGCTGGCCACATGACCCGGAAGCTGTACGCCGGCTCCCTTGGCCAATAAAGCGAGATGAGCGCTGCAACCCCAGAGTCGGCCACGACTGGACCTAATGGTCAGGGGTCCATTTACCTATTTATTGTTTATGACTTTTGTAATTATGTAAATCTTGCTGTGCTGTAAGCCGCCTTGAGCATTGTTTTTTTAACTGTGGAAAGGCAGCATACAAATAAATGATGATGATGACTTCTGTGCCACAGGGCCAGAGAACATTCCCTCAAACCAAGGAGGCTAAGCTGGGTTGTATCTTAGGGGCTGGGCTAGATGACCCCTGGGTTTTACCTGCCCCCCCCCGGGCCCTATTAACCTGATTTTAATGTGTGCTTGTTGCAGTGGATGGTCCCCACAATCCAGAACTCCATGAAGCCGTTTCGGGTAAGCCATGCCCTGGGGACCCTCTTCTCCACCATGGTGCTGATGAACTGCTTGTGGACACCCCCCCCCCAAGAAAGCAGGACTGACCCACAACGTGCCCTTTATGGGAAAAGTGGGGAGGGAGAAATGATATGCTTCTGAGTTTTAAAGAAACCCACAGCTTAGCTTATGGCTGGCCTGGTGGCCTCTTAAGTGCTCAGCATCTGCAACTAGGAGAGGGGTCTGCAAGGTGTGTTGGTTGCCAGTGTCCCAAAGGATAGCTGCCTGGACAGGCCACCCCCCAAGAAGACACAGGGGCTTGGTGCTTTCTGCCAGCCACACCCCGGATGGGCCAATGACATTCCTCAGCTGAGTCTTGCTCTCCTCTCCCTTGCAGGACATGGACTATTCCAGGATCATCGAGCGCCTTCTGAAACTAGCTGTATGTACCACAAACTGGGCTTCCTTCCCAGGACACCTGGGCACAGAGGGTTGGGATGGGAGCAGGCCTCCGGGGTTGGATCCCGCAAAGTGAGTCACAACTGGGGGCTGTCCAGGTCCTTTGGACTACGGTTCCAATCACTCCCAGCCTCAAACGAACAAGATGGTGGGAGTTGTAGTGGGGGTCCGGACTATATTTTGAAAAATATAAATACCCTGTAAGCCAGTCCCGCAGTTGCCTCCGGACCTGGAGGAGGAACGCACTCTGCATGCGCTCAGGAGCTCTTCTCGGCATGCCTGCTCACCGGCGTTGATGCGCAGCAGCTGCTCCATCGGCCGGCCCCCGCGGAGCTCCCAGGCGGCATGCACAATGCGCTGCGGCCCATCGTCCGAGGCAAGCTTGGCGGGCAAGCCGCACGCAGCTCGCCCTCCAGCTGCTCCAGTGCGGCCGCTGAGCCGGGTGCCAGGCACGAGGCCAGTAGGCATGCCAAGCTCTGGCTGAAGCCCTGTGATGTGCCGGTCATGATGCTCGCCACCCGCCCGCCTCTCCGTCCATGGGCGTACTAGGTTTACCTGAGCACGCGGGTGCTGAGGCTTTGGATTGGCTGCAGGAACTTCCTGCAGCCAATCCGAAGCTGTGCCAGGGTCACGGAAGGCAGTCCCCGCGTGGCGACTGACCAAGCGGGCGGCAGGGTCCGCTGGCTGGATTTACGAGCCTCGTGGGCCGCATCCGGCCCCCGGGCCATAGTTTGCTGACCCCTGCACTAATGCTGTCCTCTGCCTTGCTGTCCCCGACAGGTCCCCAACCACCTGATCTGGCTCATCTTCTTCTACTGGTTCTTCCACTCCAGCCTGAATGTCATTGCGGAAATCATGCAGTTTGGAGACCGGGAGTTCTACAGGGACTGGTGGTGAGTCAGTTCTGCAAGGAGGGCCTGTGTGTTTTGTGACTTGTGTTTTTTCCCCAATTTTCAGGTTTTTAAGCTGTGTCTCAGATTGTTATAACCTGCCCAAGGACCACAGAAAGAATGGCAGATGGCTGTAATAATAAAAAATAAATAAACTTGTAAAAGGCACTCAAAAGATCTGCTTTGGGCATTCAAAGCACCCTGCAGAGCAGCCAAGGCTTGGGTTTTGGAGACTTCCTCAACATGGGCAAAGGACTGGGAGGGTTTTCCCCAGCTCTAACAAGTGTCGGGGTGCAGTGCGTGGATCCCCATCTCTTAGGATGATGGTGATTGATGCAGACACCTACCTTCCGTGTGCGTTGTAGGAAGAGCTTTCAAGGCATCTGATAGGGACGATACTGGCTGGGCTCAGCCTTCGTGGGTGAAACTCAGTGACTGAATCCTGTGCACAGCCAGACCGCTCACATTTGACCCTGCAGGAATTGGGCCCCCTGTCCGAAAGAGAGAGGGGGGACCTATTTTGCTCTGTTAAGGGTTTCTCTCGATGTCAAGGGTTGTAGGGTTAGTTGACGGGCAGCAACATATGTCCCTTTTCTTCCTTCAGGAACTCGGAGACCGTGACCTATTTTTGGCAGAACTGGAACATCCCGGTCCACAAATGGTGCTTGAGGTACACCTAGGCTGAGTTGTGACAATCCTGGGGTCAAGGGGGGGGTGCTGTAGCTGTCAGTGGGGGATAGCTGGGCTAATTCTGCTCATAGTCCATTTGGGACAGATGAAAGGGAGTCCTCCTTCGTGCAGCACGTATTTAAACTGTGGAACTCACTTCTGGAGGAGGCAGCTGCAGCCCCCAACTTAGATGGCTTTGAAAGAGCCTTCTCTAGGAATATTTCTACCAACAGCCTCCAGGGTCAGATCCAGCAGCCGCCTCTTAAGTTCTCTCTCTCCTTTGCGCTTTAGGCATTTCTACAAGCCCATGATGAAGAAGGGGGCTGGCAAATGGGTGGCTCAGACAGGCGTCTTCTTCGCTTCTGCTTTCTTCCACGAGGTTAGTACCTGCTCCACAAATCCATGTGCATGAATGTCGACAGGAGAGCCCAAAGGGTCTCTCTCTCTCCCCCCCCGCTTACTGGCTTTCAATATCAACCCTCTTCTTAAAGGCTTTGGATTTCATACCACAAAGCATCCTTGCTGGTGCTCAGCCAGCCTTTCTCTGCAAGGGTGCAAGAGAGGAAAGCAGAGAGAGGAAATTGAGAGAGGAAATCTGATTGAGGGGGGTGACTGGGACACCTGAAACTGAGCTTCCCAGTCCAGGCGGACATGGCAGCAGGCAGAGCTTTCTCCTGGAGACCATTTCTGCAAATACCAGTAAGGAAAAGGCTTGGGAGACAATTGCTTACTCCCAAGTTTTGCCTATAGCAAAAAAGTGTGTGTGTGTTGGGCAGAGGTAAAGATAGTAGTTCTCAGATCTAAGAAACCACCTGAAAACTCCCAAGTTGCGATGATCAGAGCCCCCCCGAACTTGAAGCAATGGAAGTCCCAACAAAAATTTATAATTTAAGCAGAATATTTGGACTACAGTGGTACCTTGGGTTACATACGCTTCAGGTTACAGACTCCACTAACCCAGAAATAGTGCTTCAGGTTAAGAACTTTGCTTCAGGATGCAGCAGCAGCAGGAGGCCCCATTAGCTAAAGTGGTGCTTCAGGTTAAGAACAGTTTCAGGTTAAGTACGGACCTCCGGAATTAAATTAAGTACTTAACCTAAGGTACCACTGTATTTGATATGTATTTGTATAATTTGCAACATTCAATGTGATTTGATTGGATTGTTAAAATGGGAAACTTAATAAAAATGATTTTTTTAAAAAAGAAGAAAACTCCCAAGTTGCACTGCATCTTTTGGAGGAATTTGGAGACAAATGCCAAGGTGTATTTGAGCAAGTTAGATGCCGCTGAGGGACATTGTGGCTCCTCCTCCACTGAAGAATGGTGGATGAGCATCTTTCAAGGGGTGGCGAAGGACCGTCCTCTCTGAAAGCAGAGAAGGGGCAGGGGGCGCGATAGTGTCTTGCCTTCCGTTCTCAGCATAAGGTTTGAACAGGGCAAAGTGGCTCAAACTCCTGAACGTGGAGTGGGCGAGGCTATCCTGGCTGGAGCTCCCTCCCTTGACTTGCTCCCCCGGCCCTGTGCGGGTCATTCCATGGGCTCACACCTGAAAGCTCAGGAGGCAAGAGAGCGCCCTTCGTTCTGTTTCCTCTGGAGGGACTGGAATCAAGGGGAGACGCACGGGCTGCTTGCTGGGCTTCAGAGGGTGGCATGGGAGGCGCAGCCAGGCTTGCCAGCCAAGTTTCCTTTGCGCCCTCTCCTCTCTGGACTGATGTCTTTGTGGGTTTCTGTCCCCAACCAGTACCTGGTCAGCGTGCCCTTGAAGATGTTCCGGCCCTGGGCGTTCATAGGGATGATGGCTCAGGTAAGGATCGGGTCCTCACCATGGGATCACATTCACCCAGTGCTTTACCAGCTGCACTGGCTCCCGGTGGAGTACAGGATCAGGTTCAAGGGGCTGGTTTTGACCTTTAAAGCCCTATACGGCCTAGGACCCTCGTACCTATGGGACTACCTCCCCTGGTATGTCCATGGAGGATCTTACGGTCTTCAAACAAAAACATCTTGGAGGTCCCCGAGCCACAGGGAGGTTAGGCTGGCCTCAAGCAGAGCCAGGGCTTTTTCGGCTGTGGCCCCGATCTGGCGGAACGCTCTGTCCCAAGAGACCAGGGCCCTGCGGGACTTGACATCTTTCCGCAGGGCCTGCAAGGCAGAGCTGTTCTACCAGGCCTTTGGCCAAGGCACAGTCTGACCCCCTCCTTTGGTAATCCTCACAGAACTCTAGCCCAATGGTTGCCATTAATTTGATTTTGAATTGATTTTATAATGAATTGATTTTAGAATGCTGTATTATTTTAGTGTTGTTAGCCGCTCTGAGCCTGGCTTCGGCTGGGGAGGGCGGGATATAAATAACATTTATATTTATTATTATTATTATTATTATTATTATTATTATTATTATTATTATTATTTTGCATGAGTGACTTGGCAAAGGCCACTTGCCGCCAGTTCGGCCTTGCCAGAGGCTCCTGGTATGTGGTGTCTTGGCAAAGGGGGTGAGGGTCAAACAGAGTCCAGGATGCTGCTGTTGCCACCTCCCCAGAGAGTTCTGTCTTCTCTCCTGTGAGCCTTGGGGCAGGACCTGCCCTTTGGCCCTAGGGTGGAGAATCATAGAACCACAGAACTATAGAGTTGGAAGGGACCCCTCGGGGTCATCCAGTCCAACCCCCTGCAATGCAGGAATCCCAATTGAAGCACCCATGACAGATGGCCACCCAAGCTCTGCTTAAAAACTGCCAAGGGAGGAGAGTCCATCACCTTCCAAGGGAGTCCATTCCACCGTCAAGCAGCTCTTACCACCAGAAAGTTCTTCCTAATGTTGAATCTCCTTGTCACTTGAAGCCATGGGTTCGAGTCCTACCACAGCAGGGAGAAAGCAAGCTTGCTCCACCTTCCAGCCCTTGAGATATCTGAAGATGGCTGTCGTGTCGCCTGTTCTCCAGGCTAAAATGACCCATCTCCCTCCGCCATCTTTCCTCCTCTGCAGATCCCTCTGGCCTGGTTTGTGGGCCGCTTCCTTCAGGGCAACTATGGGAACGCGGCTGTGTGGATCTCCTTGATCATTGGGCAGCCCATTGCCGTCCTCATGTACGTCCACGACTACTACGTGCTCAACTACGAGGGGAGCCAGTGACCCCCCCCCCGGCGATGCCCCTCCTGCCTTCCCACCAGCAGAGGGACACCTGGCGAGGGCAGAGCAGCCGTTTCCTGGGCGCCCCACGACTCTCCGCAGCACCAGCAGGGGCAGAGATGTTGCTGCCGCCATCTTTGCCCTGGAAAGTTGCCTTGTGTGATCTTTTTCTCTGTGTGTGTCTGTCTGTGACGGCTGCTCGCCAGGTACTCGTTTTTTGAGTCCGAAGTCTGGATCAATGCAATAACTGTCAGTGGGGGCCGCCTTCTCCGGATTGACGCTTGGGGCCGGCACCTGGGCTGGGAATTTTCCAGGTGAATCCTGCCGCGGCTCAATGAGGGAGGAGGGAGGTGTGGTCCCCCGTCCAATGGGAATACGGTTCGAATCCTGCTGTGCCCGAGGGTGTGGCTGGGAGTTGGGGGGGTCTGAGCTTTGCCCAGAGCCTGGATGGCCCCCCCATCTGGGTAGGCAGAGGCAGCTCCCTCCCTTTGGTGCTGACCTTCAGGGCGCTTTAAAGGACTGTCCCTCACTTGGGGGGGGGTCCTCTTCCGTCCAGCCCGAAGGCGTTGGGCATTCAGTTCCGTCCTAGCTTTTGGCTACCGGCAGCTCTTCTGTAGTGAAAGGGGCACAGCGTCCCCTTTCGCCGGCCTTGAGCCCAAGGCCTTATGGGAATAAGGAATGCTGGTCAGCAGGGGCTCCTGCGGCCGGATTTTGGTACTACTGCCTGTGGTGGCACGGGTGATTGGAAGCTTTTTTCTCCTGGGGGGGCCTGGTTTGGGTTCGTGGCAGTTTCTGCCCCTAGAGCTTCCTCGGTTCTCTTCCGTCCCCTTCCCCAGGATCCGTCCTCGGAGCAGGGAAGCAGCGACTTGGGGGGGGGGTTGCTCCAATTCCACAGCACCCCTGCTTCCTGCGGAGGTGGCTGTGTTGGCGACTGCTGCTGCCCAGCTCTCTTTTTCAGCCAAGGTGGTTCTTGGCTGTGTGTGGTCATTCCCGTGTTTTGACAACCCAGCAACTTTTTAAAGAGTTTGCAGAATGTATCTGTCTCATACAAAAAGTGATTAAAGCATATTTTCAAAAATCGGTGTTGACAAAAGGCGACCGGGGGGGGGCGCTTAAGGGTCCACAGAACTGCACCTTGTTGACATGACCAAGTGGATTACACTGATTTCTGGCAATCGTTTCTTCACACCTGCGGCTCCTCTGTCCTGGGAGTCATCCAGAGCTTTCCTCTCCTATTCAAAAAGGTTGCTTCCAAATTTGACTTTTGTTTTTCATTAAAAAAAAATACAGAAAGCATGCAGTTGGCGCCTTAGAGCCATGCAGAGTGAGCCCAAATTCTCACTCTGCATGTGGCGAGATAATTTTACCTTCAGCGCACTGCCAGGGTGGCAAGTCCAGATCACAAAAGGCCTGGGCAGATGAAGGTTTTTGCCACTGTTAACGGAGAAATTTGAGGGCTCCCTTGGACAAAAAATAAGGACACCAGCCAAGAATCCCAGAGCAAAACAGCAGCCAGTAGGCTTGGTCTTGATTGAAGACTGTTGTGACAGGACTCCCACCTGCCACCAGGTGGAACAGGATGGAAGCCCCAAACAAAAGAGAACCCAAACTTTTATTAGCTGCTAATACCCATGTTACACCCCCCAAACTACATCACTCATACATCACGGTTACGTCATGAAAGGGGAGGTCTGGGGGCAGGAATCTGAGCATCCTGGACCCTGCCCCATGGTTCCCCTTGCCCTCCACCAAACACCCATCAAGTGGAACAAAAGAGATATTTTACATTTCCCTGTTTCCCAGCCAAGTTTATCCCACCCTTTTGTCTTCATCTGGGTTTATTATTTCTGGAATGGCTACCTGTCTGGCCCTCAGGTATCAGGATGCCAGGGATTATCCCTCAGGCAGAGGGGCTGCTGAGGAGCTGAGCTCACAGGTCTAGATGAATTTCTGAAGTTTTCCCAGTGAGCCAGTTCATAGAAACATTTATCAGTGAATTCTTACATTTGGGATCGTGCAGCAAAGGCCCTTTGAATAGACAGGAAAAATCTGTGATGAAGTGTTTTGTGGGGACAAGTCACAAAAGGGATTGTGCTGATTTTGGTAGTAGGCTGCATGTACATGATATCTGCTGGAGGGGCAAACCACCACCACCACCTATACATAAATTCCTGCAACACCTAGGGCCCCAGAGGAAAGACCCAAGTAGAATCTGGAATCTCTAAATATTCCCTGCCTGAAATCCTGGGCAACTTTGTGGGAAATCTCTAGTAGGGCCTCCGTGGAAGATCCTAATAGCCAGGTATGTTTACGGGAGAGCAGGGTGTGGTTGTGCTTTGGGGTGACCTTAAGCCCCCTGCTCTTCGCGTGCCGGCCACTGGGTCACCATTTGCAAATCCGGTCTCATCATGTTTGATCTACCCAAGAATCCTGCATTGCAGGGGTTGGACTAGATGACTCCTTCGGGTCCCTGCCAACTCTGCCATCCTATGATTCATCACCAGCTCAAGGGGGATTGTCGTCGGAAGAACTGCGGGAGTCCCAGCATATACCTGCATCTAGTTTTGATTGGCACCTGCCTGTCTTGGGAGACCAAGTGAAGCATGCACCTCGGGGAGTGGCCAAACCTTGGGAGACTTGCAGCACCTGCTGTGGCTGATGTGGGAGAGATTCGCACCCATGTCCAGCATAAAAGAAGCAGCCCAAGAGACAGGCGCTGCCCCCCGCCCCTGCCCTGGGAGGCCTGAAGGCTTTCTGCAAGGGGTGCATTGCTGCCTCATCCTGGCTAGGAGCCCTCGAGGGCCGTCCATGAATTCCCCCTATCTTTTATTTTACATAACTTTATTGCAAAACAAATTACATATAACTGACAATGCCTCAATGACAACTAAACATTAACAACACATTGTCAAACATCGCACATACATTGACTCACTGTGCTTTCTACATCTTAACTTTTACGCATTTCCTGTTATATTTGTTAATATCCAGAAAAATTTCAACGTTTATACTTTTCCTGAATATTCAAGATTCAATCTAGACCTGTCAGGAGATTTGCCTTTTCACAATATTGCTTTAGGTATTCTTTGAATGTTATCCATTCTTTACACACTTTCTGGTTTTGAGTTTCCTCTTATTCTCCCGGTCATTTTCGCAAGTTCCACCTCTTCCATCGTCTTCACCTGCCAGTCAAGCTTTGTAGGAATTGAGTCACGTTTCCAGGTTTTTTGCTACTCAAATTCTAGCCACTGTAGTTGCATATATAAAGATGGTTCTGTGGAAGACAGGATGGCCTGGCGTGCTCTGGTCCATGGAGTCATGAAGAGTCGGACACGACTAAATGACACAACAACATAGTTCTTTTGGATTTCAGTGGACTTGTTGTTGTTTAGTCGTTTAGTCGTGTCCGCCTCTCCGTGACCCCCTGGACCAGAGCACGCCAGGCCCTCCTGTCTTCCACTGCCTCCCACAGTTTGGTCAAACTCATGCTGGTAGCTTCAAGAACACTGTCCCACCATCTCGTCCTCCGTCGTCCCCTTCTCCTTGTGCCCTCCATCTTTCCCAACATCAGGGTCTTTTCCAGGGAGTCTTCTCTTCTCATGAGGTGGCCAAAGTCTTGGAGCCTCAGCTTCAGGATCTGTCCTTCCAGTGAGCACTCAGGGCTGATTTCCTTCAGAATGGAGAGGCTGGATCTTCTTGCAGTCCATGGGACTCTCCAGAGTCTCCTCCAACACCATAATTCAAAAGCATCCATTCTTCGGCCTTCTTTATGGTCCAGCTCTCGCTTCCATACATCAAAAAGGCTTTTCAAGCCACTCCTGCCTCCTGGGGGAGGGAGTTCCGTAGGTTAACTCCACGCTGCTCCTCGGGCCGGGACACACACACACACACACACACACACACGTGTGCTTCCTTCACCTCCACCTTCCCCACGTTTGGGCATGCACGTGTTTTCTTCCGACGCCCTCCCAGGGAGTTCAGGCGAGCGGGACACGCCTGGGTGACGTGAAGCACCCCTCCCCGGATCGTACACGTGAAAACACCCTCCATTCACACGTGCGCCTTGTGCGCGTGGAGGCCGGCGCGTCGAATGTCCGCCTCTATGGTGCGGCCGTCGTGCCAGAGCGGCTTCTCCCCGCTCGGCCCTTCTCTCCCCGCGCTCTCTATGGCCCTGCGCCGGAAGCGGCGAGTACTGGCCTGAGCGCCCCCTGTCGGCCCGGCGGGAAAAAACACCTCTCGCCCCTCCCTCCCTCCCTCCCTCCTCCTCCTCCCGCGGCCGCCGCCGCCATATTGTCGCCCCCCCAGCGGACCCGGGAGAGGCCAGCCCCCCTCCCTGCCCCCCTCCTCCCACCAGGAGCGGACCCGGGAGAGACCTGCTCGACCCGGTCGCCGCCGCCGCCGCCGCCTCAGCGGCCCGGCGAGGTAAAGAAGCGGGGGGGGGGTAGGGGGAAGAGAAGCCCCTTCGCCGCCGGGAAGGGAAAATGGGGGGGGGGCGGAGGGGGACCCTCTTCTGAGGGGGGGGTCCTTCATTTGGGGGTGGGGAAGGGGTCAGGCTGCGTGTCTCTGGCGGACCTGGGGGGGTGTTGGTGGAGGATATGGGTGGGGGGGGCCTTGTAGCAGGGCAGGGGGGGCGACTTGTGGGGGGATGAGGGAAATGGGGGGGGGAGACAGAGGCCTTCTTACCTGGACGTGGAGTGAGGGGGTGAGAGAGAAAGAGAGACCCCCCCCTTCCAGAGGTGCGAACTTGAATCGAATAAGGGGGGGTTCCAGGTAAGCTCTGCCCCACATACTCGATCACATGACATGGCACACACACAGGAATGCCCCTCAATTTGGGGGGCAGGTGACGGGACCTCTTCCCCCAGGAGTGGGCTGGCTCCTCTTCCCTCCTGTCAACTGTGTGGGGCAGTTGTGGGGGGTGGGGATACGATCTGTGGGCTTGGGGGGGTCAGGATAGGTTTGGGTGGCCAAGGGTCCCTTCCGGATGGGGAGGCCCTTCCTGTCATCTCTCTCTCCTTTCCCCCACTCCCCCAGTGAAATGGGGCCCCAGATACTGAGCAGCTGTGACTGCCCCCCCTGGAGTGGGGTGCCTGTCTTGTAGGGGGTGTGCAGA